GATGGAGCAACAAAGAGGTCACCACAGCCATCACTCTATCTACAGATACTGCTAGATTACCCCATAGCTCTTTCTTAAAGGAGAACTACGGGGTCAGTGTTTTTCCCCATAGTTCTCCTTAGGGTAACGGGAGGACACAAACTAGCGTCCTCCCATCTCCCTAAGCTCAGTTCTCTTTAGGGACTAACGTCCTTTCGTGACCCAAAGCTTAGTATATAGCAAGCTATTGCCCGCTATATGCTGAGAGCGCCGCAGCCGGGACAGATCTTGACAATACTGTCAAGATCCACCTAGCTGGCTGATTGACAGCGGGCTCTGCCTATCTAGAGGCAGAGACAACTGTGCCTGCCCCCTCCCTGTCCGTCTTGCCAGTCAGCGTTGGATGATCGGAGAAGGGGGGGGAATGCCTGCGGGGAGCAGCAAATGACCGTCACCGCTCTTGATGATCAGGAAGTGAGCGAGTGGCAGTATGTTTTCGCTCACTTCCCGACCAATGGAGCCGACGTGTGACTCTAACTATAGGGATGAGTGGAAATCACTCACCTCATAGATCTCCTTTAAGTTCTACGAGCTCTGGAACAGTGAAAGTGCACCATTCCACTGTGTGCCCAGGAAGTGTGATGATGCCCTCAGGGGAGTGACACATGGGGCTCACAGAAGTGAGTTGAATGATGCTGGGTGTCACCTGGAAGAGGACAGTAACAGTGGAGGACACAGATGGCAGGTGAATGGGGGTTTGTAGCAAAGGTGGGGGGGTGACACATGGGACTCACAGAAGTGAGTTAAATGATGCTGGGTGTCACCTGGAAGAGGACAGTAACAGTGGAGGACACAGATGGCAGGTGAATTACGTGACTGTGTTTTGCAGCAGGAGCTTAGCCAGTGACTGCAGCCAATCAGCCGTTCATGTATTCTGACAGCAGCAGACACCCACTGTCAGAAAACAAGAACCGCACTAAGATATCCTTCCATTCATAACATTTAGCATGGATGACGGAAAGTTTATTTTTTTGTTCATTTTGCAAAATCTAATGTTGTATGGCCAGCTTTAGCCTGCAGCGGGACTTGACTGATGATCAGCCAAAAAATGTGCTTATGTTTTCTGTACTTGCTGGGTGTTTGATGGGATAAAGCCCGGGGAATTGTGCATGCATTAGACATGTGCGATTCGTTTCGAATTGAAATTCGGACGAATTTTCGGACATTCGGATGTATCCGAATTCCGAATTACAGACATAACGAATGCAAACGAATCCGAATTTCCATTTCCGAAAATTCGGTAGCGTTAGTACGAACGTTCGTTTCGTTTTCGGTTCTTATTCGTTTGTTGGAGCAAAGTGACATTAGAGAAGGAGAAAAATATTTTTTCCCCCTCAAATGTCACTTTTGCTGCAAACGAACGAACGAACAAATAAGAAACGAATAAGAAACGAAACGAACGTTCGTACTAACGCTACCGAAATCGAATTCCGAATCCGAATTGACTTTCACACCCGAATCCTGAAAAAAGGAAATAACACAAATCCGAATTTAAAACGAAACCAAACAAATTTTTTGGCAGTGCACATGTGGCATGCATTACTGAGATGTACGGCATTTTTCTTTGCCTTGACATATGCAACTGGGGCAGGGTAGGTCACTATCGGCTAGAGGACAGGGCGGGGAGGATAAGCATATGGTGTAAGTACTCTTATCCTTTCATCTTAGCCAGACCAGCTCTTTTCTGTACTATTAAAAAAAAACAACCACCGTTTAAATGGGCACCAAACTGTACAAACACCTGCGCCTCCAACTCTGTGTCTGGAAGGATGCTCCACTCAACATTCTATCAGTCCGTACTCTTCTACACTCACTCCCGCTTTGCAGCATATTGTGGGAAGGCAGATTTTAGAGTTACATTTTGATAGTATAACTTAGGGATGCACCGATACCGATATCTGTGCCGATACAGAGTATTTGGCCAAGTCCTCCTGATACCGATTCCAATACAGAAATTTCCGGTATCGGGAAGCCGGGCGAGTCATTACATGCCGATTGGCCGAAAAGCTGGCTCCACGCTCCCTCGTCACTTGGTGGCGAGAGCATGGAGCCGGCTTTCTGGCCAATCAGGAAGTCGTGCGGTGTGTAATGACTTGCTGCCTGGATTCCTGATTGGTCGGGAATCTGGTCAATCAGGAAGCTGGGCGGCAACTCATTCATTACCCACCCCCCATCCTCCCGATTGGCCAGTAAGCCAGCTCCATGCTTCGTTGAGAGCATGGAGCCAGCCAATCAGCGTATAATGACTTGCTGCCTGGCAAGATGGTCAATCAGGAAGCCGGGCGGCAAGTCATTACCCACCCATCTTCCCGATTGGCCAGTAAGCCAGCTCCATGCTTCCTCATCACCTGCTGACGAGGGAGCAGAGCCAGCTTTCCAGCTAAGCAGGAAGCCGGGCGGCGAGTCATTACACGCCGCCTATAATAGAAGTCACCAGCACTCGATATGTGCAAGTAAAGCACTTTTTATTCAATCGTCACATGCATCAAACAGCTCGGCTGTTTGACGCATGTGACAATTGAATAAAAAGTGCTTTACTTCTTGCACATATCGAGTGCTTGTGACTTCTATTATGGACTGTATCTGACACGGCGCCATCCGCGTTGTCACTTCAAGCACCAACCTCTTACGGTCTGTACGCTGTATGGAGTGCAGGTGATTTTGTACGATTGATCACAGGCCCCTGGCTTCCTTAATGGGACTGCCAGTATTGGCAATTAATAGTTTTTTTTCCCCGTATACTCATTCTCAATACCAAAAAACTGGTATTGGTGCATCCTTAGTATAACGTAACATTATTTTTTGTTTTATTTGGTATGGAGTCCATATAAAACAGGTTTACTCTACTTCCACTGCAAGTGAAGTTGTAACAAGCACATTTTTAAGCACAGCAGATCCGCATTTGTTCAAGGCGGTGTCAAATATACTTAAAAGCTCATGTACATATAACCACACGCCCAGTACAGCAGTCTTAAAAAGAGCAGACTGTGCGTTAGTCCTTCTGCACAAATAAGTATCACAGTAATGGGATTATCTTCTTTGAGAACGTAAGCAGGGATCCAAGATCAGCATAATGCAGCACATGCTTCACACTAGCCATTGAAAGCTATTCGCGGACCATAGTAAGCAGACTTTACACCGCCACAGACGTCTAGAGCAGCGTTCCTGAACCGTCTATTGGTCACAGCACACTTCAAAAAGTATGCAAAATCTACAGGCACCCCAGTTATAACATAAAAATGTGGCCCCTCCAATATTCATACCAGAGAAGGTGGTATGGGTGTTCTGGTTCAGGAGCACCTAACAAACAGGCATTATGAAGCAGTTATGCAAAGATGACGGAGGCAGCGCCACCATTTTACACAGCCACGCAATCCGGCGTTTTGTGATTTCACAGCAACACCCAATTTTAAGGCTTGCCAAGTTTGGTGTATGTACCCAACATGACCCCATCTTTTACCTAATTAGGTATTATATTGTTTGTGCACTAAATTTTTATAGTGTATGTGGCTAAAAAATCTTGGTTTGATAAACATTAGCACAATCACTGTGGCAAAAAATTGCAACAAGCTTTTTTTTATTCTATAAGGCCTGTTTTCAGAAAATATATCATTCGGGGGGGCAGGGTTTAAATCTATTTTATAGCGAAAAGATTGTGTGCAAAATAGGTCTCTGGACAGCAAGTAGTAGTTGGTGGACCCCACAGAAAGAAAAGTTTCCCCCTTCACATCAGCATCACTTGGCTCAGCTATGATATATATTTCTGAATGCGCAGCTTAGCTTTAGAACAAATACCAAGTGCAGGAGCAACATATGTACCGCAACCACAATGTAAGAGGGGAAAACTCAACTCTCCCAATCCTTGTTAAGAGATTGGTTACTAGCACATAAATCAGAACCACTAATATACATGAGATTTATTTTTGCTGGCATTCACTTGTCTCCGCTGAGTATTTTCATACAAGTCCCCACAAATGTTACCTGTGCCATCAATACAGTAGATTTAAAAATCATTTGGACTTTATAGAAAATAGGGATGCACTGATACTAGTATCGGTGGCGATACAGAGTAGAAGTTTCGGCATTTGGATGAGTACTTGTCCAGTCAGCGGCAGATCTCCCTCTGACTGGCAGTGCTGAGCATGGAGATGGCTTCCTTTTGAAGCTGGGTTATGACAAGCCTCCCCGATTGGCTGGGCAGCCTGGCTTCCCAACTAATCAAGAAGCTGGGTGGCATGTAATGACCCGCCTCCTGGTTTGGTCAGGAACCCTAGGAATAAGTGAAGCCAGCTTCCAAGTCAATCAGGAAGCCGGAGAGCACCAAATGACTAGCTGAGGCTGTTGACCAATCTGGAAGCCGGGCAGCAAGTGACCAGTGTGCTTTCGCTAGAACACTGGCTTCCCAGGCAATCAGGAAGCCAGGCCATGATCCGCTGCCCGACTGCCTGATAATTGGGGCATCCATACTGTCAGCGAGTCAAAATAAGTACTGTGTACTGAAACCGGCATCGGTGCATCCAATAGAAAATTATGGAACGTTGAACTTTTAAACAAAGTTACACAAATATTGGACACGTCCAGTTAGAGACACTGACAAATAACCAGTGACACAAGGTATATGTTCAGACCTTTATTAACAGATGCTTGCAATTTGTTGACGTTTGAAAAAAAATCAGGTGTACGCTTATTACAAATTAAAAATGAGGTTCTTAAAAATCCTTGGTTTGACCAGATAAGAAACAATTTAAAAACCTTTTTGCAGGTAGATTGCGAAAAAATATGTTTTTAAAAAATTCTCATTCCCAAAAGGAGACTTTAGATAAAAAAAAAAACCCCCATCCCTGCAAGAAATCATGCAGGAGGACGTTATCTGGTCAACAGCAAAAAGCAAGCACTTAAGGTCTTCAGTTCCGATTCTTTGTTCAATTTCTTATTGCTGGAATTTTCAATCTTGACTTTTAGATGACAAAACTGCAAGAAAAAAACAAGTTGCTTAAAATTCATTCCAACGTATCTTTCCTAAAAACTTTCCTCAAGAGGAGGCCTTAAAAACCAAAGTGTAAAAACTTTTCATAAATAGTTAAAATTTTACCAAGGGTGTGTCAAAAGACCCTGAAATTAAGCAATTTTAGCACCTGCCATGCTACAAGTTCTGCAAAAGAAAAATAAAGTCCCTATTCAACAACATAAAAGTGAAATGTACTAAAAGTTTTTTTTCTTCAAGAACTGCAGTCTCCTGTATAGGGAATGACGAGTGCTCATCAGGACACTAACCCGGATGGTGGTAGAGGTGGTAAGCCGGTATTTTACTCAGCCCCGCCCTGCTCAGCCTCGGGAGCGGACGTGTTTTCTGCTGATGTTTCGGCTGCCTTGGTCTCTTTACCATCTTGTGGTTTAGGATTTTCTGGGCGTCTGCGTCTGTAGTTGAAGTTGCGGCGGTACCGGCGTTGAGGTGGCTGCTGACTCTGGGTTCCTTCACCCTGATTCTCTTTGTCTTCCTCATTTCCCTCTTCTCTGGGCTGTCTCTGACGAGGTGGTCCCCTGAAGGAATTAGGGAAAGATGGTCAAAGTTATAATTCATGCTAGTTTCAGGACCAATGCAATACACATCACACCAAAATTGGACCTAAAAACCCAAGTCAACATTTGCCAACATTCATTTTAAATTAACATGTCCTGAGTGGACAAACTTCTAAGGTTATTTTTTTTAAACTTCCGTTCTTGGAACATTCCATCACACTGAAAAATCTAGAGCATTCTTTTTAAACACTGCCACGCAAAGGAATGATCTGAACTGTTTTTGGGTTACTTTCTGTTGAAAGACAGGGCACAGATTGTGTGAATATCGCCTAAGAGACCAATCACATCTTTGAATTGGTGTGCCCTTTTTAAAATGGCACACCAATACATGGGCAGGACAGGGCCCCCTTCACCCCCAAGAAAATGACATTCATGCATTGGTGCACAACTGGTTCTCAACAGTTCTTCAGCTCCAGCTAGTCCAATACAAATGCTGCCCCGAGGGTTTTATTTGAAGACAGACTTAACATGCCCTTAACCCGTGTGCAATCCCATGCTAGACAAGACACTGCATCATCCACCCATCAGCCTTCAAATGTGTAACAGTGCATAGAGAAATGCATCATACCTGCGGAATCTTGGTCTAAATCCTCTGTACATATTCTCCCGCACTGGTCTGGCTTGGTCTCCTGCACCTTGGTTGTCTGCTCCCTGTGGTGGGGCAAGAAAAGAAAGTCAAATATGGTTGGTTCAAGCAGCAGAACTAGTTTTTGCTTTCTACAATCCTCTGCACAGTAGTATTTTAGATTAAAAGAGGAATGGGCAGGGAATATTAAACTTAATATATAAATATAGAACATTTTTACACATTATGTGCACCCGTTACCATCTTTTCCTTAATGTGGGAGACAAAACGGTAGTAATGGGAAGTCAGACACAGACGAGATAGTAGTAGAGAAGATTTCAGGGCACTGAAATAGTCCAATCTACAAGTCTTACCTCTGCGCCTTCACCCGGTGGTGGGGGGTTATACCCTGGTCTGCGCCCATACGGTCTTCGGAAGTAGTATGGTGGGTAGCGACGCCTCCGGAAAGGGGGCTGTTGATTAGCACCGTCTCCATCTACCGGTTCTTCAGGTCCTTCTGTCTTCTCTCCTTCCTCATTTTGGTAGTTTTGCTGGTAATTGCGTGGAGGACCTCTGCGACGTGGATAGCGCCTGTAATTGCGATCTGCTGCATATTTGCTGCCTTGGACTGGAACACCACCAGGACCAGTTACATTAGCTGCCTCTGCTCCCTGTAGAGAAAAAAAAATGCCCATTTAGTTTTACGCATCAGCAGTTATACAATATTAAAGCTGAAAGCAACTTGTCTAGATAGGTGTTCACAAAGCCTACTCTCCTACATTTATAATCCCCATTACCTTATTTTGGCATCACTAGATGTTTGCAGCATTTTAAAGCACAGCACCAGCTAAAAACACTTTCGGGTTTGGACAAACGGAGAAAAGGAATTAAGTTTATATGCAAATTCAGCATATAAACCTAAAAGTACCAATGTAATTGCTGTTGGAGATTTCAATACCTTTGAAAGGGACTCTAACAAGGGGAGAAGTAGTCACTGGGACATCACTTACTGTCCATATAGAAGGACATGAAATATGGGGAGAAGTTGTCACTAGAACAAACTAACCATCCCCAGGGAATGATCTCTGGCTGGCTTTTATGCTATTCTAGTAACTGATCCAGAACAATATTGTAACTTTAAATACTCCATATGCATTACTACCATTTCATGTGGGAATAAAGAGCATCGGTCATATAGCAAAACTCATCTGCATATTTTAGTCCTAATGAAAAAGTTGATGTGGGACAAGACTATGAAGCAGATTAAAAAGGACCTCCCATATTGTAATTAAAAGTATATGCAAATAAGTCTTACCTTTTCTCCCTCCACTACATCAAATTCAACTGTTTCTCCATCTCCCACACTGCGAAGATACTTCCTTGGATTGTTCTTCTTAATGGCAGTCTGAAAAAAATAAAGTCCATAAGTTGTAAATAAACCACACGTGGAGGAAGTGTTGAGCTACATAATGGTTAATTGCAAAAGACAATATAAACAAAATAAAACAATGCAAACACTGCAGTCTGGTAGCTACATTTCTGTGTACAAGTCCTAAAACCCAGACAGGGTGGCCATTATAAAGGTTTGCCAATAATGGAACGCGGTTCTAGACTGGACTGTCATTTGTTCTGCAACACAACAAGCCAGTCACCACACTGTAAAGGCACAAAAACCCAAGGAAATTGTACCATTCACCTACAGTGACTTTACATTGCAGCAAAATATACTGACCCACAAAACACTTGTGCTGAAGATCTGATTTTAGGCCATTTTCATCACAGGTGTTTACTGCACCATCCTAGTAAACTGGTATAGTGACCGATAGATTTCAGTCTAGTCTCGCTGCAGTTTAGGATTTTTTTATACACATTTCTGTATGCCTCAAAATAGAGTAAAATGTGCCTTTCAGTAGGACTAGTATCAATAGGTTTAAAATTCAGCAGCAAATGGAACCCCCCTCCCACAAAAAAAAGTGCATCTTACCTGGTGTACAAACACATCTTCCTTGGTGTCATTCCTAAAAAGTAAAGATTGAGCACAGATCAGTTTTATGGCAATGTTCCACAAACATATCTAAGTAACTTTATACCAAACAATTCTCTAATATAGCTGTAAGCATTTGGAATAAAAATATCAACATCTACAGAACAGAATGGGGGGGGGGGGGGGGGGAGTTTGTTCAGTTAAGCTTTGAAAAAGGAAAGGCTGATCGGTTGCCACAGGCAACTGCTCAAGATTTTGTCTGCTCAAGTTCTGTTAAATTCCCTTCAATGTTTTTTTAAAACTGCCTTTCCACATTCACAGGGGACATGTGTTTACTGATCAGGACATGTCAAGTCAACTACATCTACAACAGCAAGACCAACAAGGGCCATAGTAACAGAAGAGACCACCACAATGGCAGGGCAGATCTTCCGGAAACTGAGTGCGTTACCTGTTGACAATCAGCTTGCCTGGAACAAACAAAGGCAACATGTAACAATTTGTTGGCACTCGCCCCATTTGTTACATTTCCCAGTAGCAAGAAATGAAAACTTTGGTGTAGCAGACCTAGAGGTAAAGGAAACACTTGGAGCCATTCCAAAATATTTACAAAACTGTTACAGGAAAACAAAGCGATTAAAACTTAGCTACACTGAAAATAAAAGCAACCGAAGCAAAATATAAGACTGAAAACCCATTTCCACCTTTACTGAGGTATTGGGAACAAACATGCCAGCCAACACATTACTAAAGGTGTTATGGACAACATCCCAAGTGTTCTGAAATTTTATTGTACAGGATTTATAAAGCGCCAACGATTTGTGCACAGCTTTACAAAATGGAGGGAAACAGAGCAATTCCAAAAATATGTCAGTACAATAAGGACAAATTCCCCCTCCCCGCATTGAAAACCATTGCATTGATCAGTCTGTTAACTCTGAAAAGCATTTTTTAAAAAGGGTATACTCCACCGGGTGACAACTATGTGGCATCATTTCACTTTATAAACAGAGCGTCGTCATCCTGCTACAGGAAGGTAAATTTCTTTAAAGTTCCAGGAGGTCATTTTAGTTACTAGAGACCAATTTTCCATTTCCAATACAGTTAAGCATTGTACAACATGCTCAACAACAAAAGCTGCCACATTACCCTCAACAGATTCACATTTTGAAACCTAAAACCAGATTCTGTACCATGCACAGCAAGAACACATTGACTGCCCTAGAAAAATGCAGGTAAGAGCGCACAGGAACAATGTGGACATTTATCCACTTCATTAAACCATCCTTTCAGAATTGTGGTCTTTAACCTCAGAAAATCACCAAGCAAGCAGCCTACACTTTGATTTCTTGAGACCCCTCCGCCCCGGCTGCCCACAGATTCTTGGAATACTCACATGCATCCCAGGAGGCTTTCAAGGCAATAATACAACACATGGGGGGGGGGGGGGCTAGGCTGACTTTCTTGCAGTTGGCCCCCGATGATGCAATTCAGCACCCCCAGATCATTAGAGGGCCAAGCGCAAGAACCAGAAACTAACAGCCACCTAATATGGAGACGGCAGTGCGGAACCTGGTGTGCAGCGGATTGAGAACGATGCTGGGTGATCATTTTAATGCCAGGGGGTAAACTGTTACATTCCCTAGCCTCCCCACTTACACGAATTGTGGGGCTCATCTCCAACGGGCTCCTGCCCTAATGTGGCACAGCTGTGCAAGGCTTTACCCAACACAGCCCCATCATCCATTCACAGGATCTGAGAAACTTAAAGACTACAAGCCCGGTCTGAGCTCTCACTGAAGAAAAAGCATGGTGATGTCACCACATGGCCATAGATAACATCCTCCAGGCCCATAAATGAAAGTCCTTACATCACTTAGAGGAGCCGCCTGAACATTGCACCCACAATCCACTGATCACAGTTTATATTAATACACATGACCTTTACAGCAGATCTCTACCTGAGGAACTCACCTGTTAATAAATCCATATCCATTACGCACATTAAACCATTTGACAGTGCCCAAAACCTTGGTTGCTGAAAAAAACAAAATGCATAGATAAGGTCAGCCACTACATCCAGGTTATGTTTTCATTACGTCATGGGTACCCATGACCTTGCCTTTTATCAGAACAGGGCTAAAGTCCACCCTGAAGTTAAATACGGGAGAGGCGACGAATAATAAAAAGAGGGAAACAGGCGGCTTGAATCTGGCCTATGGGTGAGGATCAGGCGATCGTTCACTAGAAAGCACTACGGAGACACCACGTGGCTGGAGCCGGGCCAACTACTAGGCTG